CTTAAAGATCTTTATACGGATATATTTAGATTTGTTAAAACAATGAAAAAATATTCTCTCTGAGAACTTTACAGATACAAGACAAAAAGGACGAAATAAGAGATACGAATTTTTTAATAAGTAGGTACGTTAAGAGAATGAAACCCTCCCTTGAAAATAATCAGCTTTTCTTTCCAAGTGAATGTATGTCAAAGATATTAAAAAATGTAAGTAAAAGTTTTACGGTTTCAGTTGTGTTTACATCGGTTAATTAAATTTTTGAAAATATATTTTTTAATACGCTTCTACTTCCATCGCTTAATTAGTATTAACTTTATTTACAGAAGAATTAATCTCCGCATTACAATGAAACTTGTGGCATAAATCATCTTAAATACTTGAAATGTTATACAAAAGAAATAAATTATTTTTTAATGCATCGTGTTGTAACATCATATATTTGTTTACTTCTTATTGAAAAAAATTTCTCTTATCTATGTTCTAAATTGTCACCAATTTTTATGTTTAAACATAATACAGAAACAATAAAATAGAAAAGAGTTAGGTCATTAAAACAAGCAAAACTTTTTTGATTGATTAATTAATACAAAAACTGACAATTTAATAATTAAAAAATTGATGGTTTCAATTTATTAATTATTAAATTATCAGTTTTTGTATTAATTAATCAACCAAAAAAGTTTTGCTCGTTTACGGTTTTATTGGCCTAACTCTTTTCTATTTTATTGTTTTATACGAGCGGTAATTATTTTATAACTTGAACAATACAGAAAAATCTGTAACTATTGACTTTTATTCCAAAAATATTTTCATTGTTTTGAAAAACCTATATAATATACGTTCTGCGGGTCGAGCCCTATTTGGGGGCCGAAATTTTCACTCGACGTTTATAGAAACGACTTATGAAACGTATCCAGGTAGATATCCAGAAGGTAGAGACGAAGAAGAAAGGATGGGACGGCATTCCTAAACCGTGAATCCCACCGCATTTCATCTTCTCCCCTCCGCCCCCGTCTCTCGTCCAC